TAGTCCTGTTAATAACCCAACTGATGCCCCGCCCGACCCACCTGTAGAAACCCCTACTTTTAATAGACAACCTTCTAAACGCCTAGAAACATCATTAGTTTGGAATTTTTTTACTCAAGTAAGAGAACAAAATAAGGCTAGGTGTAAAACTTGTGGGAAATTGCTGGCGCATAAATATACTGGAGACCGTAGCGGTACGGGTAGTTTGGCTAGGCACATACAAACACACCCTAGAGATAAAGTTAAATATTTACAAATGAAAGCGCAGCAAGAGGGGACAAGTGTAGATACTGCGGTTAACCCTAGTACAGGTTCAAATCTAGTTCAACCAGGAATTAACACTGTGACCGGTGGTATTTTATATTACGATCCTAATAAAGATCGTGAAGAATTAGCAAAGATGGTTACCGTTATGTGCTTACCATATACTTTTCCTTCTAACCCTAATTTTGTGCATTATATTAGAAAAGTTTTTAATCCTACTTATAAAGGTTGGCCTCGCGCAACAGTTAAGAGCGATATTTATAAATATAAACATGAATATGAACAATATTTGCGGTATTTATTTACTCATATAACTAATCGGATTTCTATTACTACTGATATTGGTAGAAGTAATAATGACTGTGATTATCTAACTGTTACAAGTCATTGGATAGACGAGGAGTGGATAATGCAAAAACGCATTATTGCGTATAGAATAATTAATTCACGTCACACAGGTAAGTTTATTGCTAACACCGTTGCAGATATTTGTAGATATTTTTGCATTAGAGATAAAATAATGGCAATTTCTATGGATAATGCTTCTAGTAACACTAGTGCTATAGGCATACTTACAACAACACTAAATCCTGCATTTAGTAATTGTTTCCATGTGAGATGTATTTGTCACATTTACCATTTAATCGTCGGTGATGGTATGAGAATTTTAAATTTAGAAATTGAAAAGGTTAGAATGGCTCTTAATTGGCTTTTTTATTCAAACCGTAGAAGTAGACTTAGAGAGTATTTTAAAAAATGTGATGAATTTGGCCTTAGAGAAAGAAAGGTTCCTAAACCTTGTCCAACTAGATGGAATTATATGTACGAAAGTTTAGTAGTTGCATATGAATATAGAAACCCAATTAATGCAACGTTTAATGCTCGTGTTGGTGGTGAGGATGATGATGAAATCCTTACAAATCAAGATTGGACGAATGTCAAAATTCTTATAGATTTTTTAGAACATTTTCAAATTGCTACAAATGCATTTTCTGGACAATATTATCCTACTATTTCAAATTGTTTAGTTTATATTGCAGCACTATGTGATTTGTTTGTTGAATTTTCGGAGGGTGGGGAAATTTATCAACTTGCTATAAATGCAATGAAAGAAAAGTTTAAAAAATATTTTTTCCCTATCCCCCCTATTTATGGTGTTGCTGCATTGTTAAATCCTACAATGAAATTAGGAGGTCCTCACTTTTGGTACACAAATATTTATAAGGCTTTAGATCTTTCAGTTGAGGAATTTTCTACACTTGCAGAGGCAAAAGCCTCAATTAAAATAAATGCGCAAACAATTTATAATGCTTACCAACTTGCGTTAGATCATGCTAGGCCAAATATTCCAACCCCTACTTCGTCTAGTTCACAATCATCTAAAAGAGCTGCGGGCCTACAAGCACTTAAATCTTGGACGGAGTTTAGGGGTTCTCAAGGTGATAATTTTGATGAGACTTCACATCTAAATGAGCTTCAAGTTTATTTGTCGCAGGGACTTGAAAAGGAGAATCCAGACGGCACCTTTGATCTTTTGGAATGGTGGAAGACAAGGGAAAAACATTTTCCGGTTCTTGCAAGGATGGCTCGGGATATTTTATCTATTCAAGCTTCAACAGTTGCATCAGAGAGCGCTTTCAGTCAAGCAAGACTTCAAATAGGTGATCATAGAGCGTCTATGAGGGAGAGCTTGGAAAAATCAGTACTATTCAGAGATTGGATCCGCTCGGAAAGAAGAAACTTTGGACTTGCAGAATCACAACCGGAGATAGACGAAGCTTATGAAGAAATGATAGCGGAACTTGCGGAGGATGCTGCTTCGCCCGGAAGCGGTGATGAACAAGCTTCTTTTCCGCCACCACCAACGGAACCTCCTCCGAACCTTGAAGGATTTATGAGATTTGTTAGAGATACAATGTAGATTATGGTGTAACTTGTACTTTGGCATATCTTCTTTAGTTTTTTTTCCTTTTAATGGTGGTATTAGTACCTTGTTGTGCTCATTCCATTGGGGGGAAGAAGACTAAGAAAGATATGCCATTTTTGGTAATAAAAATTATAAAACATACCCTTGGCCTTGAATATCTCTTCGCAATATTTTTTTGTCTTTAACTTGCAATTATTTATAAGGTATAATATATATACATAACATACAATATATACTACAAGAAAATACATAAGGGAATATATATACATAACATACAATATATAGTACACTATACTAGTATACTATACTAGTATACTATATATATTTATATTTACATGAAGAAGTAGTACTATATATACTACAAAACAAGATTTTTCAAAATGAGGGCCCCACCCACAATGACCACCAACGGTCATATTAATTGCACAAATAGCCGTTTTTTTTTTAAATTTACAAAACTAACCTTCTCTAACACTATAAGTACCCCCCCCCCCCTCTTCTTCATTTCAATACTCAATACTCATTTCTCAATCTAAATTTCTCTCAATCTCTCAATCTCCAATTTTCAAGACTTCAAGTCTCAATCTCAATTTTCAAGTTAAATCATGCCTCGTTCGGAAAGAGTGCGCTTATTTGTGTCGCAATACTATGAAGTGCTTGAAGAAAATGAAGAAGGCCAAATATTAAAGTGCAAGAACTGTGGAAGAGTCTTAAATTTTCGTTCAGGGTGTACCACAGGCATTTTAAGGAGGCATATAAAGTATTGTGTTGAGGGTATTTATCCGCAAATTCGTCTTTAAGATTTTTCAACAATTTGTGTTATTTTAAAATTATTAGACGTATTTATGCTTCATGTTGTACTTTGTTATTAATTTATTATGCATGCCAATTTAGTTTTACTATTGATTTGTTATTTTACATTTTCGTCAAACACTTTAATAATTAGATTTCTATATTTATATACCACATATATTTATATAGCCATGCATAAGAGCAATTTATATATATACATACACATATGGTTTACAAGAAATTGCCTTAAATAAAAAAAATTAAAAAAAAAAGCCCGAAAATAAAAAAAAGCCCGTTAGGCCCGCTAAGCCCACGAGCCCGGCCCATTTAGCCCAGGACCATATGGGCTTAGGCCCGTCACGGGCTGGTCCTACCCGTTGAGCCCACGAAGCCCGGGACCGCGAAGCCTGGGACCGCCAGAGCCCGGGACCGCTAAGCCCAGGCCCGTTTAGCCCGGCCCGTTTAGCCCATTTAGGCCCGGGTCCGGCCCACCATACAGCCTTAAGTCGACCCGTGCCGAAACATTTTTGTTGTTTGTTGTATGGTACGACTTAGGGGGCTTTGCTCGGTTGTTGCTTGCGAGATGGCATGGTACGCAACCTTTTTCCTGGGGTGTTTTGGTGGCGTTCGTTCCTTGTTCGCGTACCTATGAGAGTGCTCGTGTTCTTGTTCCGAACCAACAAGAGAGCGTGATAAGTTAATACCTTGGCCTGGCAAGTCGGTGAAAGGAAGAGTGGCGCTGTAAGGTCGCTCGCTTCGCCTCGTACTCGAATGATGGTTTCAGATTTGGCAACCGTGTTCGGCTTCGTCGTTAATCGCGTCTAGGCTTCTCGTGGGTTTGACTTACCTTTCCCGTTGGGTATCGAGACCGAGTCCGAGTCTGGCCCCGTCCTATATGCGCAAACAAGAAGGGAAAAATGTCATACTTTGTTCATAAATCATCCTGTGCGTGTGGGTACGAAAATAAGATAGGATATGCTCGCTATTTCAAAGGGTCACACAGTAGGCTATCATCCCTTCCTAAGAGGTGGAAGTACGGGCCGGTACACAAGGTGAATACGTCACATGGAATTGCGGTCATGCCAAGCGCATAGTGACCGTGATTCTACTTTAAACATGCATATGACGTGTCATACCCAACGCTACAGGCGAGGCGTGGGTTTTGCATAGACATCGTCACAATTTTTATTTTATGTAGAGATCTGACCTAGATTGGTACGGTTATCTCAAAAGTTTATCTACCATTCTTTGTTGGTGTTTACATCAAGATGGTGAGGTTGTGACAGTCTGGAAGTAATACTTGGCTAGTTCCAGATCTAAAAGAAACTAAAAAATTTGACTAAGAAATCTCCACAGACGGCGCCAAATTGTTTGACCAAAAAGTGTTGAGCCTTGAAGAGGTGACATGACACATTATATGACCAGCAAGGTAATTTATCTTTCTTCTCAAAATTTTGCTATTTTTTTTATTCTTCCATTTAATTTATTATTAAAAAAAATCAAATGTTACAACTTTTCCTATCTTTACGTTGTTTGACCAAAAAGTGTTGAGCCTTTTAGTTAAACTAATTAATGAAGAAAATAGAGGAAAAATCCTAGCCAAACATAATTAACTTCGAATCTAAGCATATTGAATACGAAAATCACATAAGACCAAGCTTGCATAACTTTTCTTAGGGCGAACAAAGAACATCAAATGTAAATGGTGAACTTACATCTTTGACACCAAATTGTTTGTATATGAAAGAGTGAAGAAGAAAAAGAAGGAATCTCGTTGACAACTAAGAGATCTATCTTTATTGATTCAGTAATAACGATTACAAAGGATTGTAACCAAAATCTAGGCTTCTACTTTGTTGTTTATCTCCTCCCGTTCTTCCGTTCCTTTTTCTCACTTGGGAGAGTCCCCTCTTCTTGCTTTCTTCTGTCATATATATATTGCCCATCTTCCCCTTTGTCTAACGGTCTTTAACCAGCATACCCCTACTTGACTATACCCCTCTTTACTCGCTCAAGCATGACTGCATATATTCTGCCGTACAAGCCTTTCAATGGCTCGATCTCGGCAGAGGCCGAGAAACTCGTCGCCATTACGCCTTACGGGTACGTCCATGGCTTGGTCGACCCCTTTCCATTCCTTTTAATGGTAATCCAATTGTGGTCATATTTTGACCCATACATATACGTATTACAACTTCTCAATGGAAGTTCATCGTAACGAACAGTTGCATTGTTTTCACTATTTAATCTTTCACATAACTATTTTACTATGCTTTAATTCACAGTTTCAAGTGAAAGTTTCGTACTTTTCACTGCTAATAAAGTGTCGACGAAGTTCTTTAATTTCCCCTTCATTCTCATTTTAGCTACGTATTTTTTTATTTTTTGTTTGTGTTGTGTTACAAAAATTCAAAGGTCACCTCTTAAAAATTCAAAAATCATCTCTTAAATTCGGTTAATTACACCTTTTAATTTGTCCACCGTAACTGTGAAATACTTGCACAGATTTGAAGATACATTCTGTTACATTGAAGGTATTTTTCTTTTAACTTCCTTTTTTATTTTTTGGTCATTTCCATTTCATTCTTTTCATTTTAGACTTTTTTATTTTTATTTTTCCAATCTTTTCATAGGTTACTTTTAATTTCTTTTTAGTTATACCTTTTTGTCTTCCTTAACTGTTTGACAGAAATACTTACACAAATTTGATGTCGTTCCTTTACATTATTTTTGCTGCTTAATTCCTTCTTTCGTTCATTTTTCAATTTAATTGCCAGTCTTCATGCTATAAGTACTTAATCATTCTTCCTAGAAGATTATTAGTGGCTATTAGTGCTGCATTCAGTGAGTGAAAAGATGGTAGACTTAACACAGAAGAATATACACCTTTGTCTTAGCCGCCTAAGCATATTGAGAGGATCAGGAAAAACTGAATGCTCATATTCCACGGCTCTGATATTAGAATTTACTGTTGGTAAGTAAAATTATTACCTTTCTTTATTTTTTAATCTTTTTATTTTAGATTTTTTCTTGAAAAGATTATTCTTTGCGTTGAAAATTTATATATGAGACTCTATTTAACAGATATTAAGGTGTGGTTGTCTGAACAATCATTCTTTTGATTCATTAGGTTGGGATATGTTGCTATCAGTTTTGTGTTAGTATTTTTTATATATGATTTTGTATACTTTTGTTTTTGTAAATATGGAAGAATATGATTGATATTCGATATGTCCTGACTCGTCAGATACAAGGGAGGGTGCCGTGGTGCATGCTATTTGCTGATGACATAGTATTGATTGACGAGACGCGAGGGCGTGTTAACGCTAGGTTGGAAGTTTGGAGACAGACGTTGGAATTCAAAGGTTTCTAGTTGAGTAGGTCGAAAACTGAATACTGTATAGGTCCAAATTTGGACGACCACGACCATTGCTGAGTGCGGCGAGGAACGAGGTCCTTACGATATAGCGTCCTATGGTCGTTATAAAGGGTGAGGACCAACAGTGGTTAAAGCGAACGCACAACGTCTGCAGTAGTGTTAGCGTAGTAGGAGACAGTAGGAATATGCTTTTCGAATATTCTTTGTGTTGTACCTTTTTAGGGTTTGAAAGGGGATTGTCCCTTATAAATAGGAGGAGAAAGTGAATACAAAGGGGAACAATTTTTACTTACTGAATACAGATCTGAAATCCTTACATCATCTTATTTTGGTCAATCCCATTCATTACAACATTTTTCCGCATTTGAAGTTATCATATTTATGAGTAATCATTTGGTTCCGACATACAAGGAAGCATCGATCATCTTGTCATTCTCTTACATCATTTAATCTAGATGTTATTATACTTGGCTGAGATTTACCTCTTCATCTTCATTGATTGATCTAACCAAAAAGGTTTCACTATCTTTTGGTCAAACAAATACTTGGAGTGCAAGTTCAGTGAGGAGAGGCATGAAGAAGAAGTAGAAGTAAAGATTAATACTCAAGTCATTCCCACAAGAGATAGTTTCAAGTATCTTGGGTCTATAATCCAAGGAAACGGAGAAATTGACGAGGATATTACTCACCGCATTGGAGCGGGTTGGATGAGATGGAGGCTAGCTTCAGGTGTTTTATGTGATAAGAATGTACCGCCTAGACTTAAGGGCAAATTCTACAGGGTGGTGGTTAGACCAGCTATGTTGTATGGAGCTGAGTGTTGGCCTGTCAAGAAGTCCCATGTCCAAAAGATGAGCGTAGCATAAATGAGGATGTTGAGATGGATGTGTGGTCATACCACGAAAGATAAGATCAAGAATGAAGTTATTAGGGACAAGGTTGTTAGGTCTTGTCCAGATTTTCTTACCATATTTGGTTTTCCTATCTCATGAAGGAAAGGACAACATATTTACCATAATAGCGCTTTTCTTTTCTTAGGGCGAAAATATAATTCTTTCATATTTGGCTAGTCTTTTTCTTGTAGGAAAAGGTTTGGACTTCTATAAATTGAAGATCCGTCCTTCTCATTCAGTAGCATCCACAATGTAGCCATATGGGGTTTGAGAGTCGTGTTTAGGGGGGAGAACTTTACGGGACAAGTGTTAGTGTGTCACTTGTGTTTGCCTCTTCGTGAGGTTGTTCTCTCAATATTTTGTACTCTCTTTTTATATAGTGGATTGCTCATCTCCGCCGTGGACGTAGGTCAGTTGACCGAACCACGTTATATGTTTGTGTCTCTTTTGGTATTTCTCTTTTGTTGTTGGATTTATCGTCGTTCAAGGTTTGCTTGCTAGCTTACGCATGACACCTGATTTTTTCGGTCCTAACAAAGGTGAGAGTGGTATCTGCGGAAGCCAAGTAACAGGAATCGAGGCTGCGATGGTTTGGGCATGTGAAGAGGAGAGATATAGATGCCCCGGTCAGGAGGTGTGAGAGGTTGACCATGGCAGGTGATTAGGCAGGACTTATCGGTGCTTCACTTAATCGAGAACATGACTATCGATAGGAAGGTGTGGAGGTCGAGGATTAAGGTGGTGGATTGACAGATAGTTGCGAGTTTTTCATAGATTCACCAGTAATACTAATGGTATTCTTGCTGTGGGTTAAAAGTTACCGTCTAGTTCAACATAAATTCAAGGATGTATCATAAAGCCTCATGAGACAACCACCTCTTTAGCATGGCCAAACATTCAACTGGTTTGTACTCTGGAGTTGTATGCCCTCCTCCCTATAAGACAGTGAAATATATATAAATAAAGCAAAATTAGTAATGGTAAAAAGAGACAAAAAATATGAAAGAAACGATAATAGATAGAATTTGGAGAAGTGTCTTGCTTTGACGGTCGCAAAGGTCATCTGATTTGAATAAGTTCTAGTATACCTGATGTAGACACGTAATTTTTGACTCTTCCCAAAATTTTATATATTTTAGCATTTAAAAATTTAGTTTAGGTCTAATATCGCTATTTTAACTAGTTTTGACTCTTTTACTTTATTTTATCACAAAAATAAAAATTACAAAAATATTTTCTTTTATTTAGCTAATTGATATTTTATCTAGTTACTCATAGTTTATCTACCTCTCATAAAAATTAAAAAAATACAAAATAGTTTCACTTTTAATATCTAGTTTTATTTTAGTAGTATATGTTAATTAGTTAAGAGTGATTAAATATATTATACTTTTTAGAATAAGATTTGGGATTTTAGCTAAAGAGTTTGAACAACCCCAAAACTAGTCTCATTTTCGAATTTTCTTAAGCAATTTTGGACCAACCCAATTCCCCTTAACCCAAATAACCTGTAGTTCCTAAATCAAGTCCAATAACCATTAAACCCACAAATAACTTAATATCCTAAAGTTAATTAGACCTCATCTTCTTCTCTAACCTAGACACCCTAAGCTTATCAACAACCTAACACACACAAAAGACCAGCTGCCGCCCTAATCCTCTCAAGGACCACGCCGGCAGACCACCCCTTTCGCCACCACTGATCCGCCTAGAACCAGCCGACTCAGCCCCGCCTCCCTTCACCTCACAACTGCAGGCGTCCAGAAATCTAAGAGCCAGCGACCACATCAGCCCGAATTCTTGATCTTCATCGCCGATTTCTTCAGCTTATTACCCAGCTTCTGCACCTCACATGCTCTTAGCCTTAAGTGCTGGCTTTTTTGCGAAACAATCATAACCCCACATCAAGTTCGGTGGTAAGACTAATAACTCTAACAAGAGAAACATCCACCCCTACCAAATCTCTGAGGAACCAGCAGCACGCCGTCGTTTCCCTCCAGCTTCAAGCTTATTGGATTGAGAATGAGGAATCGAGGTACAGCAGAGCCGAGCTTTCCGGTGCCGATTCGAGTTTCCATCCGTGGTTCTGACGCTTGTGTTTCAGAGCTACCACATAATTAACTTCTGATTCGTTTGAGGTTGATTTCTCATTTCCTTCTACTTCTTATTTGCTGAACCTCGTACCCTTGTTATTTCGTTAATCTATCTATTGGTCTGTTTGTTGATCGTATGAGTAACTATATCATTGTTTTGTTTTTGAATGTCTTGATAATATTTGCTTTTGTTGATGATTCTTGTTTGTACGTGGTTTAGTTTAAATATGTCATGGATGGGTTTTTGATAGTAAAAATGAGTTTTTGATTCCATGTTTCACCACTTCATTAAGAGGTAATTGTTTAAGGCTTCACAGTACCATTTTGATGATAAAGAATTAAATTGACATAAAATAAGTAGATTGAATGGAATTCTAGCTGTTTCAGTTGTGGGAGTTAGCTTTCAAAAAGTGAGGAAATTGGACTTAGATAATATTGTTGCTCTTTTATTCTTACTCTCATGAATTTGATCGATAGTAGCATGCTTAGGCCGATCACATCTGGGTAGGCAAATCTTAGGCTTTCTTTATTTCATTTTTGAGGCGAGAGGTCGTTTTTTAGTTTATTATCCGGGGAATGCCCCGCTAAGTTTGTATATATTTTTTATCCGGAGTATGCCCCAAAGTATTTGTATTTGGAGGCTGAAAGTAGAATTCGTAGTATTTTTACTTTTATTCTCATTTTTCTTTTATTAGGTGGGAACGACCTCGAGCCTCTTGTGTGTTTATTTTTCTTTTGTGTTTATTTTTATCTCAATTTGAATATTTTAAAAGCCAACAAGATTGAGTACGCAACTGTGACCTTCACGGGACTCGGGGAGTGCCTAACACCTTCTCCCTGAGTCAAATGAACCCCCTTACCTTGAATCTCTGGTGCATACTTAGTTTTGGAATCTAAAGTGTTTTAAAAGAAAAAATTATTTCTAAAAATGGTGACCTGACGCATCGAAATCAAATGTCAGGTGGCGACTCTGAAAAGTCCTTTTGAACACAACTTTTTGTCACTTTCAAATTGAAAACCCTTTTGAGCTTTACAAATCTTCTTTGTATATTTTAAGAGGGTTAACTGAGGCGTAAAAAAGGGGGTGTGACAGCTTTGGCGACTCTGCTGAGGAGCTGCAGGTTCGAGCTGATACTTGATCTTATTGGCTTTTTATGATATTCGATTGAGGTGTTTGTTTTCTTTATTTGCTTTGTTTGTCTTATTTCCTATTTTGTTGGTCATTTGTTTATCGTTTTTCCTTATGTTGTTACCGCTTTATAATTGTCATCATTTGCATAACCATGGGGTCTTCTTTCGGCAACAAGTCTTTCGTAGTACGTTTGAGCGTACACGGCCTTTTTGTGAGTCACCCGTGTCTTTAGGGGGGTGGCGTGGGAGCGTGGAGTGGGCGGACAGCTAGAGCAGCCGCTATCGACCACGTGCCGCCCCGAATTGCCTTGTCTAGTGAACTCCAAACTTAGGTCAGCCTTTAGGTCATGCTTATTTGCATAATGTCATTTACACTTAGCAGGGCTCGGTCCCAGGCACCGTGTCCCTTTATAGGAGGTCTATCCAAATTGTGTCAAAGTGGGCTCGTGGCCCAAAAAGACATTTAATCATCCTTATGTGCTACATGCTGCATTCTTTAAGGATAAAAGGGTCATTTGGCGGACCAATGATAGTTGAGGGCAAATGAAAAGTAAAAAGAGGGTGAAATATAAAATGAAGCAAGTAGGGCCCACTCACATTTTTCTTTCATAGTTTTCCAAAAATCCAAAAAAAAAAGAGAAAAAGAAAATCCAAAAAATTTTTACATGTTTCATCATTTTTTTAAAAAAATGGACAAAAAATATGTTTTCTTCAAATCGTTGTCTTTTTTTCTCTCCCGTATCCAATCTTCCCGAACTACGCATACCTGATTCTCGCCTTTCGGTGTGAGATACGTAGGCAGCCCACATAGGGTCTGGTCTTCCCAGTGAGTCTTAGGTTTTTGGCTTCGGGGGTCGTAGCCAAATCTTGCATGTCTAGCCACTTTTGGCCACATTGGCCTTTTTGCAAAATAGGGCTATTTTGCGAAGTGGCTTGTTAAACCGTGGGAAAATTTCATATTAAAACAATTGGGCTGCCTCCTTTTCAGCTTTATAGCCCATATTTCAATTTACAATTGAGTAGCCCAAAAATTATTGGCCCATATCTGAAAAAGGAGCGTTAATTCCGTTTTTTTTTTTGGGAGTAAAAAGCGGGATTTTCTGCATTTTCTCAGATTCTTTCCAATCTTCTTCCCCAAATACTTCAAAAACGAGATCTTCCCATGAATGCAAAAAAGAGAGAGATGAACAAGTAAGGCTGCACTCTCGATCAATTTTGCACATCTCTGTCATATGGTACTCAAACTTCTCTACCGTGTAAGCTCTAGCCAAAGCAAAGAAGATTTTCTTCAATTGTTTGTGATGTTTCTGAATGTGCGCTTTACATTCTGCCACAAGTGAAACATGCAAATACAATGGGTACTTCTGGTACACAGCTTTTGTTGCATTGAAGATGCTTTCATTTCTATTTGAAACTATACACATCCTTCCAAACTCCAAAAGTACCCTTTATCTGGACAAAGAACCACTCCCAAGATTTGTTATTCTCTGAATCTACAATTGCATATGCAATGGAAGGATTTTTCCTGTTTATACAAAATAGATATTAGGATTCAGACAATTATACAAATATTATACACAGTTATACACAATTATACAATTTTATACCAAACTGCAAATTTTTATAAAAGTAGCTGTGAAATCCTATACACTTTTTAACATGAAACTACAACATTATACAAACTGCAGAAACAAGGTAGATGCAGTCAACTCACCAGCTCCATCCTGTGTGCAAGCAGTCAATATGGTA